CCTAACGAGTGTGCAGAGGGCTTGGGTTCCCGGAGGCCGCCCCGGGGCTGGAAAGAATGACCCAGGCGGCCCAGGTGCGTGCCAGCGTGGGCGGGGCGGGAACCCCTCGCAGGCTAGCCAGGAGGGTTCTGAGCTGGGCGCACATGCGCCCTTGGAAGCACAGCGCCTGCTGCCGGGGGATCTGAGAAGTCGCTGGCTGCTGACCGACGGCGGCCGGCTGCCCCGGGCAGGCCGCAGCACAATGCCCCGATTGTGTCTCCCAGGGCCTCCCAGTTGCGGTTCTTACACAAGCTGAGCTCCCTCTTGCCTCCTGTCCATCGGGGAGGGGCTGAATGTGCCCAAGCGGCCGAGCAAACAGTGGGAGCTGCGAAGGCCTGGGGGGGCGGAGACACCCTCTCCCCTCGGGAGCCGACCCAGCCCTGGTCTCCTGGGGGGACCGACAGGGAGGACGGCCAGTGTGTGCGCCAGGGTCCCTGGGTCTGTGGCACACATCCCAGTGTTCCTGCTTGTGTCTCTGCGTCCTGGTCAGTGTTGGGTGGCGACTCGTCGGTCACCCCCACGGGGTCCTCCACGGTGTCGGCCCCAGAACCGGGGGTCTTTGGGGCACCCGGCTGTGCGCTCGTTGCCATCACGGACCCTGACGATGAGATGCAGGGAGCAGGTGCCAGGCAGAGGGGCGTGGGGCGCAGGGGCCTCATGCAGCGAGTGCAGAGTGTGGGTGCTCTAGCCGCCACCCTGCAGAGGGAGGGGCTGCTCGGTGGTGGTCAGCTGCCGGAGCCGGAGCCGTGGGCAGCACCGTCCCCCGCGAGGGCGCTTTCACAGCAGCGCTGGCCACGCGGTGAGCAGTGGTGCGGCACACTGCATCTGAGCCGCCTGCATCACCATCAGGGCCAGCCCTGGGCTTCTAAAGACACCAAGGGAAACGCGTCCCGGGGGAGGGGAGTGGGCGGGCCAAGAGGAGACAAGAAGGGCCGGGGGTGGCGGGAGTTGAGGCTGAGTGGCAGCTGGGGGCCCCTTACGCGTTTTGCTTCACTTGTGTGCATTGCGTTTTTCTTCCTACGCCTAAAACAAAATACAGCCACCTTCTGCAGCCCCTCGTCACGGCCGCGGCGGGCAGCGTGGTGGGGGTGAGACAGGAAGATGTGCCGAGTTTGCCGGCCAAAAGGATGCATTTAAAACAAGCAGAACAATGACCAAAGAGCAGAAAGGAATCCCAGGCATTTAAAGCGAAAGGAAACGTGTGTGTGTGTGTGTGTGTCTGTGAGGTGTGTGTGTCTGATGTGTGTGTGTGTGTGTGGTGTGTGTGCGTGTCTGTACGGTGTGTGTGCGGTGTGTGTGTGCATGTCTCTGTGTGCGTGTCTGTGTGGTTTGTGTGTGTGGTATGTGTGTGTGGTGTGTGTGTGTGGTGTGTGTGCGTGTCTGTACGGTGTGTGTGGTGTGTGTGTGCATGTCTCTGTGTGCGTGTCTGTGTGGTGTGTGTGTGGTATGTGTGTGTGGTGTGTGTGTGTGGTGTGTGTGCATGTCTCTGTGTGCGTGTCTGTGTGGCATGTGTGTGTGTGTCTGTGTGGTGTGTGTGTGTGGTGTGTGTGCGTGTCTGTGGTGTGTGGTGTGTATGTGTGGTGTGTGTGCGTGTCTGGTGTGTGTGTGTGCGTGTCTGTGTGGTATGTGTGCGTGTCTGTGTGGTGTGTGTGTGTGGTGTGTGTGTGGGGGGGTGTTGATGGCAGCAACATGGGGGGACCAGAGAGGGCGAGTGGCCGTCCGGTCTGGCACAGCAGCAGGGCTGATCCCATGGCTGTGCCACGTCACAGGAGAAGTAACGCTGTCGGCTGGGGCTGCGGTGACAGCACATGGCAGGCTGGGAAGCTCACGGTGGGTCAGTGGTGCCCATTTTCTCATGGTCATAGAGGCCAAAACTCAGGCAGGGGCCAGCACGGCCGGGTCCAGAATGCCGATGGCGTCCATGCATGGTGGGGGGCAAGGGCACAAGTCCCATCCCGGGGCTGCATCCTTGGGACCTCAGCTCCGCCCAAGCCTGCGCCTCCTGCCCTCATCCCTGGTCAGGGCTGAGAATTCAAGGCAGGCATTTGAGGGGACCCACGGCACACTTCTGTGAAGTCACTTCAGGCAGGTGGTCCAAGCGACGCCTGGAGGGAAGGGTGAGCTATGTGGCAAACTGCCCAGACGGTCCCCTATCTGGGTGCTGCGGGAGTCTTTATAAACATTTATTTCTTGGGGCCAGCGCTGTGGCGTAGCAGGTAAAGCTGCCATCTGCAGTGCTGGCATCCTATATGGGCGCTGGTTCTAGTCCCAGCTGCTCCACTTCCAATCCAGCTCTCTGCTGTGGCCTGGGAAAGCAGTGGAAGATGCCCAAGTCCTTGGGCCCCTGCACCCGCGTGGGAGACCGGGAAGAAGCTCCTGGCTCCTGGCTCCGGATTGGAGCAGCTCCAGCTGTTGCGACCAACTGGGGAGTGAACCAGCGGATGGAAGACCTCTCTCTCTCTCTCTCTCTCTCTCTCTCTCTCTCTCTCTCTCTCTTTCTCTCTGTGTAACTCGGACTTTAAAATAAATAAATAGATCTTTTAAAAAAAGAAAATAAAAAAGTAAAAACATTATTTCTTTGAAAGGAGAGAGAGAGAGAAGTCTTCCATTTGCTGGCTCCCAAATGGCCGTAAGAGCCAGGGCTGGGCCAGGGTGAAGCCAGGAGCCAGGAGCTCCATCTGTGTCTCCCATGGGTGCAGGGCCCAAGCACTCGAGTCGCCCTCTGCTGCCTTCCCAGGCACATTCGAGGAAGCCGGGCTGGACGCAGAGCAGCCGAGACTCAGACGTCACCTGGGACCGCCCGGCCCGGCCCCCAGTGTCTCGGCCACAGCTTGTAGGTAGTGGGTTGGGGTCACGTTTCCCGGGGTGGTGAGGGTCTGCCGAGACAGCACCTGTGTCAGCTGAGCAGGGAGGACGGCACCGGAGCTGCCCCGGAACGCGGAGTTCCGCGTCACTCAGGGGTCACCGTGCCTGCACCCCAGCTCAGCAAGGCCCCCCGGCCTCTTGATGCCCGCAGTGGCCCCCGGACGCTGGGACTCCTCTGCAGAAGCCCCCGGTGCCCGCGACGTGGGCTCTGCCCTGGGCCGCTCACCCCACCTCCACCACCGTTTTGTGTGAATGCATCTCATCCCCCGCCGCCACCCACAGCCCTGTGGCTGCAAGGGAGCCTGGGAAACGTGCTTCCTTCACTCGGCAAAGCAGGGAGACTCATCAGAGAAGGGGGGAGACACGGGAACCCGCTGACCACACCCAGCACCAGGTGACCCAGGCCGTGTCTAGAGAGGGCGCTTCCTGGCTCTTCCGTAACCGTGAGCAGCTGCAGGGGTGCCCCCCCGCCCGCCATCTCACATCCCAGCACCCAACTCCACAGCAAGCACAGCCGAGGGGAGGCCAGCGCGAGGGGCCGTCGTCCGTCTCGCTCCCACCACACCAGGGAGCACCAGCCTGGGGGGCAGAGCCCAGGGAGGATGGCTGCCCGTCGGTCAAGGTGACGACGAACGGGCACCCAGCCCGGCGGGCAGAGAGGGAGAGAGAGGAGTTGCAGCAGCAGGGGTGCCCCCAGGAGCAGGTGGGCGCAGCCCAGCCCAGGTGGGGGGGGGAGGGAGGGAGAGAGAGAGGTGCTATAGCAGGGGTGCCCCCCAGGAGCAGGCAGGCCAAGCCCAGCCCAGGTGGGGGGGGAGGGAGGGAGAGAGGTAGGTGCTGCAGCAGGGGTGCCTCCCAGGAGCAGGTGGGCGCAGCCCAGCCCAGGTGGGGGGAGAGAGAGGGAGGGAGGTGCTAGAGCAGGGGTGCCCCCAGGAGCAGGCAGGCCGAGCCCAGCCCAGGTGGGGGGAGAGAGAGGGAGGGAGGTGCTAGAGCAGGGGTGCCCCCAGGAGCAGGCAGGCCGAGCCCAGCCCAGGTGGGGGGAGAGAGAGGGAGGGAGGTGCTATAGCAGGGGTGCCCCCAGGAGCAGGCAGGCCGAGCCCAGCCCAGGTAGGGGGAGAGAGAGGGAGGGAGGTGCTATAGCAGGGGTGCCCCCAGGAGCAGGCAGGCCGAGCCCAGCCCAGGTAGGGGGAGAGAGAGGGAGGGAGGTGCTATAGCAGGGGTGCCCCCAGGAGCAGGCGGGCCACAGGCAGGGTGCTCTGGGGAGAGGGAGCCCCGGTCCACAGGCCCCAAGTTCCCGCTTGGGGAGGGGAGGAGCGTGGCTGGGGAAGGGAGGGAGGCTGGAGGAAGGGAGGCGGGGACCGGGGTGAACCTGCTGGTCTGGGGGCAGGGAAGGGGAGAGAGGCCCCGGGTGGGAGAGGCCACGGAAGATCAGAGACCTGGAGCCCCTGCTGTGCGAGTCGTCCCCGCCTGGTGCCAAGCAGGGCCGGGCAGAAGCCTGCCCGTGACCCCGGCCCCCCACTCAATGGCTGACCGCGAGCGCCTCGGAGCCAGAGCCCACCCCCGCCCGCTCCGCTCGAGCCGCAGAAGCTGTGAGAAATAACAGGAGACGGCTGCCCGAAGCCGCGGCACTCTGGCACGCTGCGGCAGGCGGCCGGAGATAACCAGAAAAAATCTGATTTACATTTTTAAAGTAAACTTTTTAGCGAAATGTAACAGAGCTGCAGAGGAGTCCAAGTGAGGCCGGGGGCACGGCGCTCTTCCGGTGGCTCCGTCTCGGGCACCGCGCGCCTCCTCCCAGGAGCCCCGGAAGCCCCTGTGTGCCCCGGCCGGCCGTGGACCCGTGTGGCTGTCCGTGCCTGGGCCTGCTTCCTCTGCCACATGATGGCCACACGGAGCCACTGCGCACTCACGTCCACGGCCGTGTGGCAGCCCACTGCACGGTGGCCACGGCCGCCGCCTCCTGCTCTGGGGACCCCTGGCGCTGCTGGGAATGTTCTAGAACACGCCCTTCAGTGAACCTGCACACGTTTCTGGTGGACCTCAAACCAACCCCTGCCCCCCAATCCAGCGCCTAAATCAGCAACCGTTTTCTCTCTCAGGCTCAGCCAGGTGTCTTCGCGAGGGTGGCGGGCGCCACTGCCCCCTGCCCGCGCGGCTGACGGCTGGGGGTTCGGCTGGGACTTGTGACCAGAGCTCCTCGGTTCCCCTGTCCCGGCGCTGTGTGGCCCCGGCTTGCAGCAAGAAGCTGGATCCGAGGGAGACGCAGACGGCGCCAGCCGTGCTGAGATGGAGGTTGGCGTTCTGTGGGCGAAGCAGGTATGAGCCCAGCCAGGGCTCAAGGGAAGGGAAGCGACTACCGTTTGTGGACAGGAGGGGGAGAGCCTGGGGCGGCACAGCGGGCAGCGAGGGCCAGGGGTGCGGTGCAGAGTGCGGGGAGCGCACCAGCTCTGCCGGGACTTGAGACTCCAGACCTCGGCCCCCACCTTGCAGCGGCCGGGCACGCGCCCCCCTGGTGCTCCTGGTCCTCTGCCCCTGCTTCTGTGTGTCTCCTCGGGGCCCCCCAGCAGCAGGCAGCCCCCAAGACACAGCCTGCCACAGGAGGCTCCCGTGTCCAGCGAGAAGCTGCCTGCGATTAACCCCGTGTGTGCCATCTCGGCAGCCAGCCACACAGCGGAGAGCACCGTGGACAGCCTCGGGACAGGCCAGACACACGTGTTCATTACGTGAACGCCCACGGAGCGCCTGCCCAGGGCTCCCGTGCGTGAGGACGTCCATCAGCACGGGGCTCCGGGGGCCTTGGTGCTCCTCTTGGAGGGAATGGACAGGAACCCTGCAGGGTGTGCACACGATGGAGTACTACGCAGCAGTGAAAAGTGACAGCCGAGGGCTGCTCAGCGCAACACAGACAGATCCGAAGCACAGGGCATTGGGAACCAGAGTGGAGGGGCAGCCGCTTCGTGGCCGTGTGCTGACGTTGGAGCTGAGGGTCGGTCAGCCTCCCGCTGGCTGAGCCTGAGCACGCGACACCTCCCTGTGTGCATGTCCAGGACGCACAGGCAGGAAGGCGGCTCAGAGGGCCCGGCAGGCGGGGTGGCACGGTGAGCGCGCCGAGGGCCTCGCTGTAGGGCTTTGACTGGTGTTCGTCCCAGCTAGAAGATGCCCAGCTTTGACTCTGCCTAGAGGCGTCGGGGTCAGGGGCAGCGGCACAGCCGGCCAGAGCTGCACTTGGTCGGCCTTGGGCAGGCTCTGCTCCGTGCACCTTGTAGGCAGGTGGGCTTTGCTTCAGCCATGGCTGGTCCCGGGGGCCGGGTGAGAGCCCTGGGCTCACAGGCCCGCCTTGGGGTTTTCGAGACCTTTTGATGGCACCAGCCGCCCGACTTGGGGCCCCCACATGGCGCTAACTCCAAGACTTCGTCCTTCCGTGTTTCCCACGGCCAGCGCGGACGCACCGGATAGCCGCATCCCTCAGCCCTGGAACCAGCATCGGAGACAGCCGCGGATCTGCGTGGGCCATGGCCACGTAGCAGGCTCTGCGTGCCAAGTGCTTCCTGTGCCACTGGTCATCGGCTCACGCTCATCTGGTCGCACAGCTCGGAAGCAGCAGGGCTGGATGTGGCCACCCCTCGCCTGCTCCCCTCCTGCGGTGGGAACGGGCCCCTGGGGCTTCCACTGCTGCAGGCGGCGGGGGCCTGTCTGGGGGCCTGCCCTGTGCAGGGATTGGTGCTGTTCTCACCGGACCCTGAGCCACAAGAGCCGGCTGGGCCGGGGCCCTCGCTGCCCCAGCTCGCTGCCCCGCCGACCCCCCAGCGGCACCCGCCGGAGCCAGCCTCCCAGCTGCCCTGAATAAAACCTCTTTTCCTGCTGAGTTCCCAGCCTCAGGTGTTTTGTTCTAGTGAGGAACACGGACCGAAACGCCCCCCCCCCCCCGGCCCTGTGGACGGCCATGCCGTGCTGTGCCGTCTGTGTCTGTGCTGGCGCGGGAGCCCCAGCTGCTCTGGGAGCTGCATCCCGGGGCGCACGGGTGTCCGCCAGCGGCACAGCGGGGGCAGGGCAGTGGGGGCGCCCAAGCCGGAGCCTCCGGCCTGTGGGGCGACGCCCATGCGTGGCCTGGTCAGGCCTCCCCCGCAGCCCTCGGGGCTTCGGAAGGGGCTCTGTTTCCTGCAGTGGCTCAGATCTGCGTGGGGATTAGGGTGTTATGGTCGGAATGCGAGCAGCAGCTCGCGGCTTCCAAAACAGGCTCCATCTCACAGGCCCAGGCCTGAGGACAGCCCTGCCCTGCCCCTGCCCCTGCCCCCAGCCCCCTGCCCCCTCTGCCTCAAGGGGCCAGACCCCCACAGCAGGCCAAGGAGCTTCCAGAAGCCACAAGCGGGGGCTCCCTGCTGGCCCCACGTGGCTCTGGCTCAGCAGCCAGGCCGAGGCGTGCGGTGGGGGCAGCGGGAGGCGGGCGGGCGCGCAGGGTGGGCCCCGGATGGGGCGGGGGCTCGGGCAGCTTCCCGGCCTGCTCAGCCCTGCAGCCACACTCCCAGCAGGAGGGAGACCGGGTTCCAAGGAGACAGAAAAAGAACAACGCCAGGTGTGGGCGTCCCGGACAGCCGAGAACGGACGACCTCCAACAACCGAAAGCCGTCTCCTCGGCGGCTGCGGCAGGTGAAGCCAGGCTGTGGGCTGCGCCCCCTCCTGCTCGGCCGGCAGCCCCAGGCGGCCCCTCCGCACACGGTGCCCTGGGCACCTCTTAGAAGCGCTGTCCTGGGACGCGGGGCCGGGAGACCTCATCTTGCCGTCGCAGGCAGAATGCCACAGACTGGGCCGTTCATTAAGAGAAGGAGCTGACTGGGCTCACGGCAGGTGGGCTGGGAACCCCAGGAGCATGGCGTCCCCCTTGGCGAGGGCCTTCCCGGCGTGCCGTGCCGTGGCAGCAGGCACACAGGTGCACACACGTGCGCGGCGCGTGCAGCCCCAGCCACCATGCAGCAACGCCCTCCTGGCCCATCCGCCCCCGGAGGCCCCGCCTCCTCGCACGGTTACCATGGCAATGCGAAAGACGCCCCCTTTCCAGCGAGGGCCGCACTCTCCAGGACCACCGCACGCAGCAGTAATGGCCGCAGCGGGACCCGTCTCAGCAGAACCGGAGCGAAGCGCGAGGGGGAGGGCGGAGTTGGGTTTTAGGCCTGGGTCTGCCTGCCCCACCGCAGGAGATGAACTGAGCCGGCGGCCTGTGGCTGCCACAGCAACCTCTCGTCTCCTCGTTCGTCTGCGAGACTTACCCCAAGTCCATCTGGAGGCGGACGTGGGTAAGTGCCCAGGGCCGAGGGCCTCGTCGTGGTCAGCGCCTGGGCTGTGTTGGTCATTGGCTGTTGAAGCCGTGACCCCCAGGGCGTCCCTTGAGGCCTGACCTGAGAATGGCGCATCACGCCTCTGCCCACACCCCATTGGCCAGTGCTGGTCACGTGACCGCAGCTACCTGCAGGGAGCCTGGGAAATGTAGTCTCGAGTGGAGGTGGCCGTCTGCCCTGCGGAGAGTTCCAGCACCATGAGAGACAGGGAAAGGGGCTGGGCGGCCGCGAGCTGGGAGCAGGCCCAGCTGCTCCGACTCCCCCGCTGGCCGGGGGACGCCCGAGGGAGCCCCAGGCCTGGGGTCCTGGCTCCGTGCAGCAGCGGGCGCTGTCCCTGGCTCCGCACCGGCTGCCTGCGCGTGGGCGGGAGCCCTCCCCGGGGTGGGCCCGAGCTGGTGGAGCACTCAGGAGCCAGACCCTGGTGTGGGCACCACCACCGTCAGCGCCCGGCTCAGGCTCCCAGCACGGGTCGGCTCAGGGCACGGCGTGGCGGCTGGCTCTGTGACGTTGCCGCCCACGTGAGTCCGGGCCACCTTCTTTCCTGGGCAGTGGCCCACCTGAGCCTCTTGCCTGGCCCCACACCTCACACGGCTGCTATCCTGCTGTCCCGGTGGCTCGGTGGCAGTGGAACGAGGTTTCCTGTCCCAGCCGAAGCCCACCCGTCCCTCCCCTGTGCAGCAGCACTGGTTTAGCAGATACATAGTCATGTGTGCTGAGTACCGTGTGGGGGCTGGGTGTCCTCTCCGCGGCCAGCACCGGGCGGTACGGTGGCTAGGCAGGTGCCACGAGGCCGGGCACCACGGCTAGGATGAGAGCCATGGGCGTGGCTAAGCAGGATAGGAAGAGAGAAACGGGAAAATGTCCATGACGGCTCTGTGCGCGGGGCCTGACCCCCGGAGCGGCCCTGTGCGCGCATGGCGTGGGGCCTGACCCCTGGAGCGGCCCTGTGTGCGGTGTGGAGCCGCACGGCGTCCTGACCCCTGCTGCCACACCGATGCGCCTGGGGACATCGTGCCAGGGAGATGAGCCGATGGGTGGCTCCCCCTGGGCGAGGTGTCCTGCCCACCACACACAGCAGCGGGAGTCAGGATGCCGGCGGTGGCCAGTGGCCCCGGGGATGCGGCCCTCTCTCTCCAGCCTGCTTTGTCCTGAGGAACTGGGTCTCTGCGACTCGGCGGCTCTGGGGGCCCGTGCGTGGTTCTGAGGTTGACCACACCTGTACAGGTGAGTGTTTGCCTGGAAGACTGGGCACCACAGCCTGGCCACGGTGCCACAGAAGCTGGCTGTGGCAGGTGTCGTGGTCAGACCACGCTGCGCCTGGCTGTGTCTCCGGGGGCCAGGGCGGGGGCCATGCAGCCGTGTCTCCTGCCAGGTCCAGCTCGGCCACTCAGAACTCTGCCAAGGGCCTGACTGGCACAGGGTGCCTTCTGCCCATTGCTCCCCACTTACTGTGACCAAAACGTCGGAGCCTCGCCCCAGCTGGCCTTTCTGTCACCCAGCAAGTCCACACGTGGCCAGTGTTCTCACAGCCGGACTCTGCCCACGGGCTGGCTCAGGGGGCCGCTGCACTCACACAGGAAGGGAAGGCCATGGCGGTGCTTACGGGGCGTGCGTTAGGCCCCGGGAGCCTCTAACTCCTGAGTGGCACAGGCGGGAGCAGTTAGGACACACGGCCGTGAGGTCGCCTGGCTGGTACCCGGAGCAGCCCCAGAGCCTGCGCTGCCGTCTGCCGAGGGTCTGCCCCAGAGAGGGCAGCAGGACCTGGCTGGAGTCCCCACCTGCGCGTGGAGGCCGGGTCCCACTCCGCCCGCACCATCGTGGTTCCTTTCTCTGGAATGTGTTCAGTTTGTGCTTTGGTTAAACAGGAACAGAACTTTTTCAATGCCGGGTCTTTTTGTTAATCCGTGATAGGCCAGCCCTCAGGGTGGCCCCGAAACAGCACGGGGCAGACTCGGGTCCCGCCAGGACCAGCAGGAATCACCATGGCAGGTTTGCGGAGAGCTCAGAGCGAGCCCCGGGAGGGAACGTGGAGACGGTGGTCCCGCCGCCTCCCGCCAAGAAATTAACCCCGGCCTCGGCCCCATGTGCCCGCGTGCTGAGCGCGTGGGACCGCCTGGAACGGGGCCCTGGCCTCGGCTGCCCGCCTGCGCGCCCAGCGCCGTGCCTGGCCCCCGGGAAACGTGAGTCGGCACCGACTGCACCGCGCCAGGAAAACCGCCGGAAAATTGCTCCCTTCCTCCCTGGGGCGCCCGCCCGCTGCCCGGGGCCCCGACAGGAGGGCACTGTGGCGGCACCGGCGCGCCCCCACAAAGGGGCCTTTCAGGGCGTGGGCAGGGTCTCCGGGCTGTGGCCGCGGCTGCGGGAGCCCCTGCCCGCGCGAGGGGCGTGGTGCGCAGGCGCCGAGCGAGGGCGCACGGACCACTCTGCCTGGACCCAGGTGCGGGAGCGTTGTGGTGCGGGCCCAGCTCAGTGGCGGGAGCTGACACGTGCACCAGGGGCAGCAGGAGGCTCCACGCCCCGCTGTGGCCGACTCCGGAACGCTGGACCCACGTCCACTCAGGAACACCGCCGTCCCGTGCAGCCCAGCTCAGAGAGGCAGGCGTGAGGGCTGTGTGTGTGACTGTGTACACGTGTGTCTCTGTGTGTGTGTGTGACTGTGTGTGCGCCTCTGTCAGTGGTGTGAGTGCGTGTGCTGGGGAAGACCTAAAACTCACTGCTTCAAGGCTCACTTCGTGATGAGCTGTGACTCCTGGAGTGTCGGTGACTTCCTGGTGCCCGTGCCGAGCCCTGCTCTGCTTCACCTGGGAAGTTGTCCCCAGGCCAGGACGAGGGAGGGGCGCACTCCCAGGCCATCCTGGGCGTGGGGCTCGCTGGGGCTGGCGGTCCTGGGAGGCCTGAGCTTCTGGTGCGTGCTGGGGGCTGGGGTCAGAGAACGGAGCCCCTGCCGCGTGCCCGCTGCGTGTGTATCTGCTCTGGCGGACAGAGCCGGTGTGCCGTGCTGGGGACACAAGTGCCCTGCCCGGGGAGCCGCCTCTGCCGTGTCCTGGGCCCTCACACACTCGCGGGGGCGTGGGGACGCTGGGCAGGAGGCGGGGCAGCCAGCTCCAGGGCGCGGGGACGCTGGCAGCAGGATTCTTCGTAGCACTAAAAGAAGGTCCCAGAAATTTCCGAGCCTCTCAGAGTGTTTAAAAACTATTTTATTTTGCTCACTCTGGAGATGTCAAGGCCACCCCGACCCAGCCCCTCTGCGAGGACGGCGCCTGTCAGTGCAGGGACGGCCCTGGCCGCCCGCGGGGGTCTCAGCTGCCCGTAGGAGACGTGGCTCACTGCAGGAAGCCCTCTGTGGCCAGCATGCTGGTCCCGGTGCAGCACGTCTCTGGGCCTCCGAGCTGCTGTCGGCCCTCCCGGGGGGTGGTGGGACGTGGTGGGGGACCCTCTCCCGGCACATCCATGCTCTCGCCAGGCCAGCCCGTGGGAGACCCGTGCCGGGAGAGGAAGGAGGCCTCGCAGGCCTGTGGCTGGAGTGGGTGCT